CATTATCGAACTTGATGACGAAGCTGTCTCGTAAAATGATATTTGGAAGATATGATCGGGAACATTGCCAAAAGAGCATACGAAGTAGCAGTAGCTCGTTGAGGGCGTCCGATGAGGTAGTTGCTCAACCTACGATGAAGAGTCTTTATCATCAAGGTGATCTAGCCCACGCTTCAACGTTCCCGATCCAATCCGATGGGCATCGTGAAGGCATCTCATATGCAGGTCCCTTGAATATTGTTTTGCTCTACGAGAAGCGGTTGCGGTGCGAATGTGACTATTATAATGACTGGCCCAATTCGCCTTAATTGGACAGGGCATTTGTGCGACGATAAATGCCCTTGTGGCCTGGTTATATCTGATAATTTATAGTCTTCGACTGTTCTCAGAATATCCAGGGGAGAGACCATCGGGGTTGCACACGCCTGATAAGGCCTTATACGAGCTTTTACTCTGCCATGAATATCTCATCGCAGTTGGACGCGACAATTCAGACCGTAGCTAATGCGGCTTTGCAAGGAAATGAACTCCGTTGAAATCGGAGGTCGCATCAAATCAGGCCGAGTATTTGTAAAGGATGCTTGGTACGCCGTCACTCAACCCCAGTTCAAATGCACCCGAATGATCTTCCTCCGAGACAGTCTGACGGTCTGAACCGGAGGAGGACGACAAAAGTAGATTAGAACCAAGATGGGCCCGGGATTCGGGAATGATCTTGGCTCTTATCCCCTTTCTCCTGGTCTGTGAGCTATTGACAGGCTTTCCGGTTGGTTCTGGGGGGCGTCTGATGTACATATCAATGGAGGGGAGCTCAGTTGGCTTACGGTCCTCGTTACCACTTTGTTGGTAAATGGCCTAGATAACACTGCGGTGTAGCAAACAAGGGCGTAGCAAACAAGGGCGTAGCAAACAACGGCGTAGCAAACAAGCACCTGTCAGTCCCATGCCTGGAATTATTGCTGTATCACTAAGCCTCAGAATTCCAGCCTGGTTGGCAATTGAGAAGACTGGCGGTGTTGTCGATGTCGAAATAAAGTTGAACGTAGAAAACGACAAAAAAGAGCTAATACAGAAGCGTCAAGTCAGTCTGGGAAAGTGAGGTTGACGTGGAATTCGCTGGCGCATAGCTCCCTGATCAAGCAAAGCGTCCGGCAACGAACCCGGCAACACGGACATGAGCTAAATTTTTTGACTCCAAGCAACGCCTTGCAGCCGCAATCTTTTGCTGGGGAATTACGGAGGAGAGGTAAGTTGACTGCTGGGCACCGGCAGGCAAGAATCGATTGACGTATCGGATGCAACCGCCATGTCCATTCATCAAATCGTCCGCGAGGTCCTGAGTAAGGTACTCCGTAAGGTGACGAAAAAGAGAGAATGGGGGTGGAGATGGCTCCAATTGTGAGGTGAACTGAGCTGTCAGAACCGGGCTGTATCCGCAATGACAGGTAAGGTACGGTTATAAGTGGAGAGGCCTGCCGGGGACTCCCAGTGCGAAATGTGCGAGTACCAACGGCCTGCCGCGGGACTCTCCAGGGCCATCCCCTGATCCGCACAGCAGCTGCTGGATGAGTGCGTGGCTTGGTGATGTGACCGTTGTTGGTGGTGGTGGTGGTTGACGGAATTGGACGTCCGTGATCCCTGTAATGAAGACGAATCACGGCACGGAAGCCAGGGGAATTGTCAATGATTTTACGAATCACAGCTTCGATCCAAGTCCGAGACCCCATGCCTAGCTTCAAAGGGGCGTAAAGATTGGGGATGCTGTTGGACCTTAGAGCGATGATATCCCGACAGCCAGTCTGTCAGAGATTCAGTTGACTAAGGCATGCGGAACAACCCCGCTTCGATGTTCCTTGTGTAATCTATGTGTGCGCCTGGCTCAGAGGTATCGTCGTTCTTGTTTCCGAGGTCCGCCAGGCCCATGGAGCCGCCGCGGTCGCCGCCGAATTTCCAACCTGAGAAGTGTCGAGTCAGTGAGTACCCAAAGTTCTCTGACAGTCTGGCTTCTAGTCAGCCATGTGTCTTCAACGATTTTCACCGAATGTTGTTGCGACGATTCCGAGGGTATTTAGTTCGTCGTGAAGCTATGAGAAGGCAGTCGGGTAAAGGATGCCAAGAAACTCCATCTGGGGCGCATGGTGGGAAGCCGAGGATGAAGCTAGCAAATAGTTGATGTAACCCCTCTTGGTGTGGTACTCCCTGCCAGACGTAGGTGGCAGGCAGGCCAACACCGACTTATCGACCGTCCCAAGGGAGTGGTCGAGTCTTTTTCTTCACGCCGGCCGCTCTGTGCAGACGGAACAGCGGAAGGTGACCAGAGAGGTCGAAACGTGCATACCTACTCCACGAGGCGTTCACTCCCAGTATCTTGCCATTGCGAACTGCTGGTCAGCACTCGGGAACTCTGCATAGTCTCTAGCGGTGACTAGGCGTTGGCAACAGTCGACGTAGCAACAACCAAAGTTTCCCGTCAACTGGAACAGGCACTTGCAGCAGCGTCTGGGCGATATCATGTTAGGAGTGTCTCGTCTCCTGGAGGATACCGAAACCGGATACGATCGAGACACATCCAAGCGATGCGGGTCTTGTTCAACGCATCGCCGCTTGTCTGTAATGGGCGCTGTTATCCAGAAATCGGCCCGCCAGCAGCACGACTAGTCTTTACCAAAAGATGGAACTAGCATTGAGCTCATGCAGCCTACGACCGACCCTAAGCGGCTACTTGGCTCGGGATGCAGAGGTCATTGAATCGGGAAAAACAAACGACCCGATCGTTGCGCGCTCTTCGGCGGAGTAAATGCCGTCTCAAAAGAAAAAGCAAGCAAGACGGCAGGTAGTCGTTGACTTCATTGCTTTTCTTGTGATGATGGGCTGTAGCGGCGGGGTTTTCGTGTTTTACGCCGAGACGTCGAGTTTTCCCACTAACCACATTGCCTCAGACATGCCTTTGGCCATGGTGGCCGTGAGAGTCATGGTTGGCTGGCAAGTGTACGAGTATATGGACGGCGGCCGCAAGAAAGGTGGTGGTCTCGGAGCATGAGCATGCATAGATGCAGCAGCTGCAGCGCTGCAAGACCTTCTCTAGCGCGGTGGAGTCGTGGGTTTGTCCAGGCCGGCAGTTTTGGATCGATAGGATGTGACGATATCTTGCTTTTACACTATCGCTCGAGACGAGCCGGTGCAATATGTGACAAAGTAGGCCGAGCGAGCCCTCCAATGTAGGGCGGTAGGTTCCAGGTGAGTCGGCGGGCGATGGGTGTGAGTGTTGCTGCAGTGTTCAAGCAGAACAAACCATTGATGGACCAATGTGGGCGCATCAAATGGTTGGATCGGCCCCCGGCTGACCACCTCAAGTCCGTAAGCAATGCTTTTCCAGCGCCATTTCCAGGAAAGAGTTGGTTCTGCACAGGAGCGTGGACAGCCTGCTGTGTAACTGGACTCGACCAGATGCACATGTATCCAGGAATGGACGGCGTCATCGTCTCTATCGAAGAGCGCAGGTGGCTGTATGATGTATCCGCGAGACTGCGGTGCCTGGGTCGGAGGTATCAGTGGCTTCCGGCAAAAAGACCGGCGGTTACGGATACATGGCGCCCCGACTGTTCTGTGCTAGAGTACCGTGAGTACCTACTCAACTCTAGTGGACAAGTACCTGGATGAGTGAGGCGCTAGGGCGTAAGACATGCCGCAGACGAGGGATTGAAATGATGGTGTTGCAGAGAAGTTCGTCATGGATCTCGTGATGGATCTCGACGGGGTAAGAAAAGAGTATCGCGGGGCGAGACAGACGAGGGCAACAAGAGGCCGCGCAATGTGGTGATGTAGGAAACATTGGTGGCGGGATCATGAAGTTGGTGAGAGGCAGACTTGTCTGGAAAGAAAGGTGAGACCTCGGCAACCAATGAGACGCTGTCTTGTCCACGTCTTGAACTTGGAACTTGGGAGAGGGGCAGATGTCTTGACTTTTTGGTGATAAGGTAGGTAGTCGAGACTCGAAGAAGGAGAGAAGGCGCACTGGTGGCAGGGCGCCTTCCTCCCTGCAGTAGTCTAACCGAGTTTGCGACCTTGAGTGAGCCGAAAAAGACAAGTGCATCTTGGTGCCTTCCAGTCTGGGTCGACTTTGCCTCTGAGCTGGAACTGGCTATCTTAGTAAGGCAAGGTACCTTAGCACCTTACATAAGATAAGGTATGTACGAATAGGAATGTGACATTTGGGGCAAGGAGATCCGGGCAAAGAGAATCGGGACATCGAAGGAGCCACACAAACAGCTGCTCTCCGTCTCTGACCTCGGGATTGGTCATGCTTAGGGTCTACGGATACCGTCTGAGGAAAAGAGACACGACCTGGCCCGGAACTGTGCAAGGACCTGGCCGGGGCGGGAGTTTGAATTTTGGGCCAAATGGATCCTAGAAACATCGTGGGCCCTCCCAACGTAAGGCATTCCTGGGCGACAAAGTTGTGTAGAGCACCAGACTTGGTCATAAAACCAGCTCCCAGCAATAGACCAACGGTATCCAGTCTCGTGTACCTCGGAAGCATGCCAGCATATAAGGATGATCAGCAAGTTGAAGCAAGGGATGTTAATGTTTGCACAGTTTCTTCCATCTTGTGATCATGAGGTAGGTGTCTAGCTAATATAACTTGACCCATTTGCTACAATGTACAGAGGCTGAGAGGTCACGCTGGACTCGACCTATTCCATGTGGTCGTCGATGCAGGCAGCGAGCCGAACTCTCGGCAACAGGCATTACAAAATATCAGACCATGCGCCGCTCCCCTATGGAGCTCAAAACGGGGCCGAGGAAACTAGAGCAGAGTTTTCTCCTTTCCTAATTCTTCTTCATGCCCGACAGTTCCGTTTGAGTTCGAGAGAATTGTCCAAAGGCGTAATTAACATTGGACGGACCTAGAGTATAGAAATTAAACCTCGCCGTAACAGTAGGTTGGAGACGGTCGACGGCCGGTGCCACCGGCGTGACGATCGGGCCGTTCCTAGCACATAGTCTACTTCAAGCCCGTACCGGTGCCGTGGACCCCAACCGAAAACTTCTACAGGCCGGCGGGAGGAAAAATCATTTACCAGTGTTCTCACCAATGCAGCCTGCAAGAACTAGTTGACCATGGATGCATGTTTTTAGCACCGGACGGACTCTCGGGAAAGGACGAAAGAACGAGGAAACCGAAGGGTCCAACCGCATCAAGGAGGTAGGTACCGCGGTTCATGCTTATTGTTGGCGTTGGCAAAAGTTCCTCGAGCCTCTCAGGAAGCGGGTACGGATACTCGAGCCTATCACCAAGGTCAATGGCTCGCCCAAATATCGTCCAAGGGAGGAAAGGAACAATGTTGATCTCAGGGGAGAAGCTTAAACACACTGCATTGTCGATTGTACGAATCCGTACATGCCCTGCAGCACATACCGTCCGAATCCGTTGATTGGCCAAGGCACATTACACACACTCGAAGTTATCCCCGACGCCTCAGATGAAGGGCGCGAGGAAGGATACGCAACGAATCCGGACATAACGTCGTTTGTCTGCCGTGCGAGCCCCCCACACTCCCGTCCGAATCCCAGAACGATAATCCAACAGAGAGGAATTATCTTGAAGTTGAAAGTTGTTGGTCTTGGTTCTGGTTTGCAGTTCTGATCCTGGTTCGCCTTGGGGGCGTGCGGCGTGCCAGATTGTGCCTTGGGCCTGGCATAGGTAACCCGCAGTGCACGCATGCCTCCTGCTGACGGAAGGGAAACGCGAAAGAAAGGCGAGAGAGAGAGAGAGAGAGAAGGAGGGAGGTGCGGATAGCTTATCCCGGCAAGGTGACAAGGTTCGTACGGACGCTACCTTACCTCACGGCACGGTACAGTACGACGGTGCAAGAGCGGGCAGTAGTGATGGACTGCCCGCCCATGGGCTAAGGTACCTATGGGCCATGATGCGTATTGAGAGATACTTTGGCTCCGAGGCTCCGTGCGGCGCGCCTGTCCTTTTGTAAAAGTGGAGAATATGGGCGGCCGCACCCTGTCTCCATTCGGAACGTGCTCCTGCGGTACGTACCTTACCGTTCACCAATGGAAGTTCGACTGGACGTTCCCGTCTGTCCCCAGACGACGCGACGGCAGCCAAACTTCGAAATTGGCTGACGCACAGTCAACCACTCACTCCATTGCCGCTTTTCCTCTCCCAATGCAATGCAATCCATCCAGTCCAACCCAGTCCAGTCTACTTCGGTCCAGTCTTCATCCCCGCCATTTTACCCGAACTTCATGATCGGCCTCCAGCAGTTTTCTTTTCTCGGCTCACACTCCTGCTCCTCTAGGCCCTCCCTCCCCTTCGGTCACCCGCCCATCCAGCATCAACCAAAGCTCGCCCACCGACGCGCCTCTGGCTTCCAACTACAGTCTACGGAGTACAGTTCACTGTTGGCTCAACCTGCCACCGGGTACGGATACTGTGCGGGAACATTGCACCCCGACATTCCGCTGCCCACGTTCCTTTGTCCCACGCACTGCTCCGCGTACTCTCGAAGTCTGGCCCAGGCCCGCTGCCAATCGCCTATCTACCAACCACCTTCCCTGTACCTCTTCGTAGAGGGAGCAAACATGCATTTCTTGGCTTCAACGTTTACTGCATTCCTGCATTCCTGCATTGCCTCCAGCACATATCGATACTTGCCTCTTGAACCCTGGAATGGCGCCGTTGAACCACGTTCACTTCCAACCGTGCTTGTCGTCGTCGCCTCCTCGTCAAGCCGCACTGGACGAACCACGGTGATAGCCTCGCAGTGCCTCGCTCTTTGCTGCCTACCTCACGGTCGAAGCTGTACTGTAACGCCAAGTTGTTGGCCATTATAACCATCCATATGGATACAGTTCTCTACACACTTGAATACATACCTACCAGACGGAGCTGACAATTTCACAGGCGGACGTACTCCGTACAAACACCTCAAGTCAAGGATCAGACGCCTCTGGCATGCGACAGGACGCCAGGGCAGGACGCCAAACAGTCACCCCCCGTTCGGAACCCATCCCCGACCGCGCTATGCTTGGTTCTGATCCGCTCCCTATGCAGGCTTCATCCCATCTTGCGGCCCCGGCTTCACAACATGCCCTAACCACCCGTCTGACGACGTCCCATTGAGCACGGCCAGCGGAGCGGTCTTCTTGCTGGCAATCCAGCAACCAGCCATGTTCGACCCTCTTCCACTCTGCCCTGCCCGCGGCCTTCCACCAGCAAGAGCAAACAAACCGTTTGAATGGACATGCACCTTGCCATTCTACCACGGTCAACGACGAATGAGCGCCATTCCCCCCATGTTCCGATGGGGTACTGGATCCCCATCAAAATTTATTTGCTTGCCATGCCAGCCAACGTACTAACTTCCGCGCCGTACCGCTTCCCGCAGGTGGCCCTGAACTGTCAAAAAAAAATTCGTCAATCACCAAGTTGACACAACGGAGTCATTCACCGGCCTCTGCTTCCCAAGGTACCCGCTCGACCCCGTCTATCCGTAGAAGCAAGGGCGAACCTACGCGCTAGGAATAGATGCTACGAACACCATGACACTTGAAAAGCTAAACAAACCGCACCCACGCTGGTAAAGCGACCCTATCCGTAGCGGCGCATCCAATGCGGCCTTTTGGGGGTCCGTTCCGTTCCTGAAGACTTCTGGATGCCAAAAACGTTGATGACTGCTACCATTAGGGAACGGCCGAATCCTGGTCATCGACCTTTGAGGATAGCTTTGAGCTAACAGAGCGCTTGGTCAAAACTCATGTTGAATAGACTGGGCAGTTATTGTCTAGTAGGCAACTCTACCCTCAACCAAGCGGCGATCTTGGATGGCACAGTCCTCCTTACTCGCATTTCTCCAGAATGAAGCTTCCCGAAGGCCACTCACTTACTATAACCGCCGGACCTCTCTATTTGTTATTGTCGTCTCGCTAGAGTTATACAGCACGCCAGCGGTACAATAGTCAAAAGCCTCAATTGCTCGAAAAAGGCGATGGGGCAGTACAGTCATTGATATATCCGTACGGGTTGCGGCAGCTCCAGTCTTGAGTCCAGCACAACCTGTACCAACTGTTTCCCTCTCTGCTTCGTCTGACAACGACCCACCGTTCAATATACCCCCTACTAGCGGTTCTAGCTTTACAAATCGGAAAGTCTGAATGGACATCTACTATTCCTCGCTTGGGTATTTCGCAGTCGTCGTCGTGCCATCAAGAAGCACTTGACCCGAATACTTTATGAAGCTTTTCAAAAGTAATTCGGGCCCAAGGGAGGCGTACAAGGCTTGCTTAGCGTGCAACAACATCATGGGAGGAAAAGAAAGCCCTGAGACGAACAGCGCGGGCTCGAATGATGCAGTGGCCATCTAGAGATGCAGCCAATGCCATGTAATCAACGGAGACCCGTATAAGTGGCAAGGCTTTTGCCGACCGATGCGCCGTTCAGCCCGGCCCACCGCTGTCTCACTTCAACCCCTGCTCTTCGACATGGGCTGTCTCCCACACCTTCATGCACTCACACAAATTATGATTTTTATCTGTCCTTCCTCTCGCAATAGCCGGCTACCCAGCGCGACGAGAAGAACGGTTAACGGTTCGACAAATCTAGCACAAGCGCTCTGGCGAATCTCGCAGCAGACAGGCGTTCAAGTTATTACTATCACCACAGGATGAAATCTGTCCATCGCTTTGGGGCCCGGTGGCCAATTTGCCCTCATGTTCCGCAAGTTTAAGCCTTCAGACGCCAACCTCGTCGACTTATTTGAGGTGAGTGGAAACCAGAGAAATGAAGAGGCATCTGCAAATCCAGACACTCCGGGCTCTGGCCGATCAGAGCCTTCAACTTGCAGGCCAGTGCAGCAGTATTCCTCGGTCTGCAGACGGTTGGCAGCGGGGGTGCTTGGGGAGGGCGACCAGGGCTACGAGGATCGCCCTCCGCAACCCTCGCACTCAATGACAGCACATGGTGGGTTTCCGGCCGGGAGGACTACGACGAGGGTCTCTGTTCGACCACATATGGCTATGTTTGGTTTGGTACAGGCCATGTATGCACGAAGATGCTTACCGTCCTTGTCTGGTACAGTACATGCTCGTCTTGGTCTACTCACAGTAGTGCAAACACCATCCCGGATGAGCTTGGGGGGTTGCCTCGGGAGGGGTGGGTGTGAACTGTGGTCTCCTGCAGACCACCTGTTGGGATGTCGAGCTGCGGCATGGGATGGGACGGTGGTGTATTCATACGGAGTACGGATACTCTCGAGCACCCTCTCCCTCCTGGCTGGCACCTGCCACACCTTATCAGAATTGCAGACTAGGGAGGGGGAGGGTCCTCAAGTGAGGTGGTAAGGTACCTGGTCCCCTTGCACAGCTTCGCAAGTATCCGTACGGATACCGTGACCACATTCCACCACGTCCACACCTAAAGGCTTACCCGAGAAAGCCTTTTTATTCTATCCCGCCCCCCTTCTTTACTCCACTGTCGTCAGTCCCGCGCCGGAAAGACTTGCTGTTCTGCTTCAGGCGTGTGTGCTCATCCGTTTGTCTTGCCTTTTCACATGGCACTCAGACGGACACGTCCATTCCATATTACTGCGGCTCGCTAGTCCCCGGTTCTCAACTTGCAGTCCAGCCAAGAGCTGAAGGAGGGTAGAAGCTCACGTTGACTAGACCAGGGTACCTCCTGGTCTGACTTCCTGCTTTTCTGCTCGTTCATGTTTCCACAACTGCGGATGCCGGTCTCGCTGCCCCTCGACCTCAAGTCATCTGCGCGGCCTCGCTGCTCAAACCCCCCTCGCTTGCGGGACACTGCTTCTCGCCCGCACTCCTCAGCTGGCTGTCACATACCACGGCAACAATCGAGATACACTAAAAAGCCCTAACTCAGATCATTACGAGAGGCAGGGGACCCGTCGACAAGCTCGACTCGCCTCCGCCTTGCAGGTCCATCCTTCCTCCAAGATCCACCTCAGCCCGCGAGCCTTGAACTCATCTAGGGCCCTCACCCTCCACTGCTCCAGCTCGTGGTTATTGGCTCTTTCCTTCTCTTCTGATTCTCTTCCGAAGACAGCCGTATCCGTTTTGCTCGTGTCGACCTTGGAAACATCGCAAACGCGTCTTGTTGGCTGTTTCACTCCCTCCCTCTTCCCACTCGTCAGCATCACCTCTTTCTTGGTCTACAGTCTATACTACACATCACCCTTCCCTCCCCGAGACATTGCGTGGAGAGTTGCGCTCTAAGACAAAACCGCGAACCAGTGGAGAGGCTCTCCCCCCCGATGTCTCAAGCCGTCTTGAAAACAAAGAGGACTTTGAGGTCCGCCCTGGCGCCCAGTTTCGCGAACTGATAGATCTGTTTGAACCACCCGGTCCCGCTCTCTCCGTCGACCTTTTTCTCCCAAAAACCCGTAACGCCCCTGACGGGTCACATACCTCCTGCTTTGTCGTATCTTTCACTTGGACTGTCAATTTCGTCTCTTCAGCCACGAAACAGTATCCAGCAATTTCTCTGCCACAAGATCCACGCTCGGAAGCTATTCGCCTAGCCAACACTGACGGTCCGACGCAAGATCCCGCTCCTTTTCTGTTGGTCTGCTCTGGATCCCAATCTGTCTGGTATCCTTCTGCCGGATTTTGGAATATCTACTGAGCAACCCGCTAAACAAACGTCGGTGCGAGTCTGGCTGGCTCTCTACTGCATCTACCCTCGCGCAGTCATTTCGACATATCACAGCCAAGCCCCAACAACCTCCCGCGGGCATTAGGCTTGAACCTCCCCCAAA